TCTCGGCTCACCGCAACCTCCGCCTCCTGGGTTCAAGCAATTCTCCTGCCTCAGCCTCCCGAGTAGCTGGGACTACAGGCGTGCACCACCATGCCCAGCTAATTTTTGTATTTTTGGTAGAGACGGGGTTTCACCATGTTGACCAGGACGGTCTCGATCTCTTGACCTCGTGATCCACCCGCCTCGGCCTCCCAAAGTGCTGGGATTATAGGCGTGAGCCACCGCGCCCGGCCTCTTGGAAATCTTCTATTTTACTCTTTCTAATGAAGAAATCTCTCCTCTTCTGGGTAGGGAAGGAGCATTTGCCCAGCTACCCACAGTGGAGTAGGGGATCTGCGGCTTTGTTTCAACAGATTTTCAAAAAAAAAAAAAACGGAAAGGTTTTTTTGTTTTGTTTTGTTTTGTTTTGTTTTAGCTCTACCTGAAGTTCTGCAAGTACCTGTGCCTATTCCTGAGGCTTTTGGGAGATTCTTGGAATAAAGTGGGTTACAAGCTTAAGATTAAACTTCTCTGAATCTATTAAATCGGTTACCTTCACCCATCCCTTCTCTAGTTTCCAAATTGTTACTATAATCTTCAAGTACAGGGCCCCACCCCTTCCCACCAGTTATTAATAGGAACCCTTTATATTTTCAAAGGGAGTTTTCTTTTTAAAAAGTTGCTTTACTGTCACTTTAGTGGGGATGGGTAGAAAGTGATGGCACCTGCATCACAGGAATTTGCTATATTTACCTTGATGCTCCCTTCAATCTTTACAAATAACCTGAGAAAGATGGGTGGCAACCCCCTTTTACAGATGAGGGAAATGATTTGGGTTAATCAACTGCCCAAGATCAGCTAACTGGCAAACAGGATACAGCTGGGTTTCTGAGCCAGGATTTGATACCAGGTTTTCTAATCTCAAAGCCTCTGCAGTTTTTCCACATGCTTATAACTACATTCCATACCACATAATTTTACAGTTCCTTGTGTTGTTTGATCAATATCCCACATCCATGTAGTCTCTCAAACTGAAGCAAAAGTCAGGGGCTTTATATTTCTTTTGTATCTCTTGAAGCAATTAAAATGGTGTTGAACACATACATATCCCTTTCTTATATCTTTCAATAACCGTGTACTTGATCATAATTCTTACCACCTATACTGCAATGGCATGTTTACTTTTCTATTGATCTCACACTCATCTGGTAAGCTCTAGAGGGAAAAGACCATGTCTACTTTGTATTCATAGTGTCTGCAAATAATAAGTACCCAATACAAAGTGAGTAACAGTGTCAAGGAAGACTGGAGACAATAAGGTACTCAGTAAATATTTGCTGTATGAACAATTCAAAAACTTAAGGTTGACCTTTATTAAAATTCCACATACCAGTCAACAGCTTTGGGTGTCAAACAGCCATCTCCTGTATAACAATTTTAATAAAGTCAATGGTACAAATCAGAAAATACTAAATATGGGCCAGGCACAGTGTCTCACGCCTGTAATCCCAGTACTTTGGGAGGCCAAGGCTGGCAGATCACGAGATCAGGAGTTCGAGACCAGCCTGGCCAATATGGTGAAATGCTACCTCTACTAAAAATACAAAAATTTGCCAGGCGTGGTGGTTCGTGCCTAGAGTCCCGGCTATTCAGGAGGCTGAGGCAGGAGAATCGCTTAAACCTGGGAGGCGAAGGTTGCAGTGAGCCGAGATCGCTCCACTGACTCCAGCCTAGACAACAGAGCAAGACTCCATCTCAAAAAAAAAGAAAAAAGAAAATACTAAATATTTAGACTTGAGTTCTGAAAGTCTTGTTATTATTACAATGACAAGGGATCATCTCATATTAAAATAATGTCTGAAAGACAACTTAAATTCATGACCCATATTCTTCTGCTTTTCATTCTGGAGGGAAAATTTCAAAGTCTTCATTTGTAAAATTTTAAAACATTTTAAAAATGTCAAATAGTTTCCACTTATTCTGATTAGAGATGTCAATTCATGCTTATTTAATCTCTAAAAATTGTGGACCATTAACCCTTCATATTTGGCAACACAGTTAAAACAGTGCACCCTAAGACTTCTACTGTGGCTTTATATATCACAAACTAAAACCTTTTTTAAAAATCAAAAATCTTATGCTCTTTAAAGGAAAAAAGCAACAATAAAATCTTCCCATTTCATTTACTTTAACACTATACAATTTTTAGCTACACGACTTAATTGTTTATTTGTTTTTACTGGGGAGATAGTTCCATGAGAATATTGGATTAAGACAAATCTAATGCAAGACAGGCCGTATTATTTACTACCAATGTTATGACCTGAGGTGGCTCTCTAAGCCTCAATTTTCTCATCTATATAATGTTGGGGGGTGAAATGGTAGCAATCCCATAGGGTTTTGGTGAGAGGACAAAATGCATATAAAGTGCTTAGCACCCTGAAAGCTCAGTAACTGCTTGCTACTGAATGCACCAAGCAATAAAATATTGCATAAGCCTTACCATGTACAAGCACTACTCTAAGAACTTTATACATACTGATTTTTTCAATCCCCACAACTGTAACAAAGAAAGATATTACTATTATCTTCATTTTACAGGTAAAACTGAAGCGGAGAGTTTCACAACTTGCCTAAGGTTAGGGAGCTACTAAGAGAGTAGATTTGAATTGCAATCGGCCTGGAAGTAGAGTCTTTACCCTTAACCTGCAGTCAGCCTGGAGAAATCTCTACTCTCCTGGGTAAGGAAGGCGCATTTACCTTACTGGAGGTAGAGTCCTTACTATATTCCATCTGCTGAATTGACAAACTTTGTTAGGAAAGAAGAAAACTGAGGCGTGGGCAGTCTTGGTAATGTCAAATGGTTTGAGGTGCTAAGGAGCACCCGAATATCTCAGGTAAGAGCTAACCTTGTTCTCCCCCGCCCCGCCCCATTTAAGATGCATTGATAAGCCTTTAATAAAACTTCAAGTTTACTCTTAGCAGGTTTTACATTTGATCACATGTTCTGAAAATTCTTACTATCAGTCTCATGCACAGCGAAGTGGATTAATTAGAGGCAAGGGCGATAGGAAACTGGACACACGTCCTCAGCAAGCATAGGTGCAGCACCATATGGCTGACTCACCGGAGGTTTTTTAAAAAAAGAAAAGAACATCTTCTGATCAGTACTAAGATGTGGCCTTGCCCATTTGGGAACGGGATCCCCCCCCAAGAAAAGGGTGGCGGGAGTCCGCATGAGCCGGACGTGGGGAGCGCCTCACTCCTGATCTCACGGAGCCTGACCTCGTCCACCTCGCCTGCCTGCGACTGGCGACGCAGGTTACCTGTAGGGATTTGAATCCACCACCTCTGAGCTCATCTTCTCTATGCGGGCCCGGCCGCCCCCTCCGTCGCCGCTCCCCGCCACCCGCCGACTTCTCTCCTGGGCAAGTTCCCGCTCCAGCTCCTGGACCCGCTGCTGCAGCCGCTCTACAGACTCGGCCATGGCTGGGACTCCGGCCGCCAACGCTCCCAGCCCGGGCCTTCGCCGCCGCCTTCGCCCCACGCTGCTCGGCTGGGCCCGCGAGGGGTACGTGGGGAGGCACCTAGATGCTGCCTTCGTAACCCAAAGCCCTGGGGAAGTGCCCCCAGCGCCTCACAAACAGACACGTCTCCGCCACTCCTACGTGCCTTCCTCGGAGCCGCTTCCGGTGCGTCGCAGACATCGCTCCCCCTCAGCAAAAAACTGGCTCTTTCGGCTTCCTTCTTCGCTGGGTCGGCTAAACCCGGCTGCAGCAGGACCAGGGTGATAAGTGTCCAGAGCAGGCGGCCTGCGACGTTGCCTTTCTAACCGGGTGTTTAGGAGAAACAGGATCTCTTATTCTTGGGCTCGAAGTCCTGACGGGCCTTTTTCTGAACTGGACCCTGCAGGTCTTCCGCCTGCTGATGCATTACATTTGGGGGTGGAAGAGGCTTCTGCGTTGTTCCTTGCCCGTAACGATGACCATGGCTTTGCTTTCTTTAAAATTGATGGCTCCAACTCTGACGCTGACTGGAGAACTGAAATCCGAACATACATTGGGCTCTTCTGGCACTTGGCTAGAGCTAAGACGTCCAGATTCAGCGGACCGGCGTTGCTCAGCAACAGCGCGTAGCATGTGTGTGGTTGGCTGAAGCCAGACCCCGCCCCGGCCTCAGCCGGAGCTCTAAGGTGGCGCTGCCACAACCCTGAAGGACGTCGGCACTCGAGACCTGTGGATTCCTCGTTGCTGTGGCCTGCGGGGGCGATCATGAAGCTAGGTGCCACTGGCAAGACCGATTTGGTCGAAGTGCTGCCACAGCACAAGTTCGACCGCAAGTCTCTGGAGGCCTACCTAAACCAGCACTTGCCTGGCTTTGGGGCCGAACGTGAGGCTACGCTGACCATTGCTCAGTACAGGTATAGACGCCAGGCTTTGCCTACAGCGGAAGCAAATCTGTGCTTCGCGTTTTCCTTCCTTTGGCCCTGGGCGGGTTACTAAATTTCTCCCATACCGATTGCTTTTCCTACTGTCAGTGGACTCACCCTGCAGGCCTGAGCTGCTATTGCCGGCCTCCCTGAATTCGATGCTGTGGGGTCTTCCCAATTGGAGGGCAGTAATGGAAGCGCAATAATGTTCACCATTCCACTGTCCCAGGGAACCTTTGTTCAAGGATGGATTTATGTCCCTTGAGGATTCTCTAAGGCAATTAAGGCTAGAAACTCTGAGAAATAGATGCCTTCTCTGATCTTTTGTGGTATAACCCTTAGATATTTTTCTGAGAAGCTGGTGTAATTCCGTTTAATTGGCGATATTCCGGGAGGCTGAGTTAATGACACCAGAAGGAGGATCCGAATTCGAGTACTACTAGCTATTCCACTTAGGACGTCACAGCACCACTTTGGGCCTCAGGTTTTTTGAAGTGAGGTAATGGAACTGGGTGAGAGGATTCTGAGAGTACAGTTCCCCACCAGGAATCAGGCTTTAGTCTGATGTTTTCTGATAGACAATACATTCTTAAAACTTTATTCTAAAAATAGCATTGTTTCTAATACAGGGCTATAGAAAGAGTCCTATCATTCAGAAAACTGAATCTGTCCCTTGCTGTCTGGGAGTTTAAATATGTTATATAAACTCTCTGAGAACTAGTTTACTAAATTGTAATACCTGACTGTACTGATTAGTCTTATTAATGAAACGAAGTACAGTAATATAGGTGAAAGGGCATGAAAATTGCAATAACACAGTATAGTAGTGGCATTTTATCACTGGCATTTATATTCTTTGACTACTGATTTTGGTGAAAGTGAAAGTAGTAGTAAAGGAGATGGATCCGGGAACATTTTAGGGTATAGAATTTAAAAGTCCCACCTCCCTACAGATATTGGATGATGAACGAAAAGGTGAAATAAAGAATAGCTGAGATTTCTAGGCTAGAAGCCTCTTGCTATAACAAACTAAAACAGATCAAAGTTCAAATTCCGACTATTCTGTTTACTGTGGAATTTGGACGTGTTACCCTTTGAGCATCTAGTCCTGCTCTGGCAAAAAGGAGATAGTAACATTCAAGAAGTACATAACTGGAATATACTTAATTCTGAACCAAGCTGAATGTTAAACCATAATTGTGTTCAATAAGTGAAATTGTGGTATAAAAATTGCTTCCAGAATATTGTTTAAGCTTGGTTTAATTAATATGCATGGCACTTTGGATCCCACAGAGAACACACATTCATTTCTAGGACACATGAAAAAGTTTATAAAAATTGGAAAACATATAGGCCATGAAGGAAGTCTCAGAAATTCAAAAGAATCAATCTTTGTATTTTGAAAATGTGCTTTCTGGCCAAGTGTGGTGGCTCACACCTGTAATCCCAGCACTTTGGGAGGCTAAGGTGGCTGGATCACTTGAGGTCAGGAGTTCGAGACCAGCCTGGCCAACATGGTGAAACCCCATCCCTACTAAAGATACAAAAATTAGCTGGGCATGGTGATGCACGCCGGTAATCCCAGCTACTTGGGAGGCTGAGGCAGGAGAATCCCTTGAACTGGGAGAAGGACATTGCAGTGAGCCGAGATTGCGGCACCACATTCCAGCCTGGGCGACAGAGTGAGACTCCGTCTCAAAAAAAAAAGAAAAAGAAAAAACAATTTTTTTTAATGCCAAAAGTTTAACAGAAGACAGCTAGCATGTGTTTAGAAATTAATTGATTCATGGATTAAAGATCCAATAATCAGACAGTAAAATGCTATCAAAGTTCAGTGTACAGAAATCAACTGCATTTCTCTACTTTAGCAACAATTAAAATGCCATTTCGAAAACATACAAGAGCATCAAAATACAAATTACCTAAACAAAAGATGTCAAGACCTTTGTAAAGAAATGGTAAAACTTTTATTAGGACCTTAAAAAGAATTTTAGATATTAAGAGATGCTATGTCATTGGATAGAAATATTCAATATTGCAAACACTTTTCTTCTTATCGATCTATTGATACAAAGCAATGGCAATCAAAATCCTAATTTTTTTCTCTAATTTGAAAAAGTGCTCCTAAATTTTATGTATAAAGTGAAGGATTAAAGATAGCAGAAACATTTCTAAAGAACCCTAAGGTGGGAAATTTGAATTAAGATGGCATGATATTAGCACAGAGATAGACAAACAGACCAATGAAATAGAATGGAGAGTTCACAGAAAGACCCACATATTTATAAAAGTTTGATATGTGACAGTTTTGGCATTGAGAGTCAGCGAGGGGAATAAAGAACTTTTTGAGAAGTTATACTGGAATAATTGTTATCTGTATGAAGAAATAGAAATTAGGCTCTTTATCTTATACAGTTTCAGGTAGATAAAAGAATCGAATGTTAAAGGCAAAACTATAAATGTTTGGAAAACATGTAAGTTAGTTTTATGACTTTAGAGAAGAAAATTTTTTAAAGGCAAAAGCAGAAACCACAAAGGAAATGATTGATAAATTTTCATTAAAAGACTACTTAAAGTGAAAAGACAAAAGAAAATATTTTCAGTATATATAATGGTTAAAATATTAATATTCAGCATATAAATAACTATAATAGCTCACCCGAAAAATGGGCAAAAACTTGAAGATGCTCAACTTCATTACACTGTAGTAATAAGAGAAATGCGAATTTAAAAAAACACAATGAGAAACCATTTAACACATCCAGATTGACTTCTTTTTAAAAAATCTGGCAATAGGCTGCTCTCAGTGGCTAATAACTGCAATCCCAGAACTTTGGGAGGCAGAGGCAGGTGGATCACCTGAGGTCAAGAGCTCGAGACCAGCCTGGACAACATGGTGAAACCTCATCTCTACTAAAAATACAAAATTAACCGGGTGTGGTGGTAGGCACCTGTTATCTAGCTACTCAAGAGGCAGAGGCAGGAAAATCACTTGAACCCGGGAGGCGGAGGCTGCAGTGATCCAAGATTGTGCCCCAGCACTCCAGCCTGAGTGAGACAGAGCAAGACTCTGTCTCAACAAAAACAACAACAAAAAACTGACAATATCAAGCATTGGTCAGAATATGGGACAACAGGGACTCATATAGAAGTATGAATCAGTATATACGATTGAAACATAACTCAACATTATAAAGACGATGTTGGAGGCCAGGCATGGTGGCTCACGCCTGTAATCCCAGCACTTTGGGAGGCCAAGGCAGGTGGATCATGAGGTCAGGAGTTCAACACCAGCCTGGCCAACATAGTGAAACCCTGTCTCTACTAAAAATACAAAAATTAGCTGGACATGGTGGCGCGCGCTTGTTGTTCCAGCTACTAGGGAGGCTGAGGCAGGAGAATTGCTTGAACCCAGGAGGCAGAGGTTGCAGTGAGCCGAGATTGCACCACTGCACTCCAATGTGGGCAACAGAGCAAGACTCCATCTCAAAAAAAAAAAGAAGTTGGGAAGATACACATGCCCTATGACCTAGCAGTTCTACTCACAGATGTATACTCCTGAGACTTTTTCTTGTATTACAGTGTAAAGGGACAATCTACAAAGATGTTAATTGCACTGTTTGTAATAGCAAAAATCCAGGAAACAACACAATGTTTATAGATATAGAATGGATAAATAAATTGCAGTATATTCACATAATGGAGTACCATACAACAGGGAAAATGATTCAGCTACAGCTATACATAACACAGAATAAAAAACATGGAGAAATGAACAGTATATTGTATACAGAGATGAACTTCAAGGGAATGATAAATATAAAATTCAGAATAGTAGTTTACTCAAGGGGAGGGACATACAGGGATTCAAAGACAGGAATTTTCTCAGGGTAGTGAAAATGGTGTTTGTGGCACTACTATTCCTCATGCCTTACCAATTTTGTATATACTCTTTTTATCTGCAACATTTACTTTTTAAATTTGCAAAACTTAAATCTTACTGGAAATATAAAATATTTAGAATTAATAATAAAAGCATTATATAGCTTGATACAACAAAACTTGTGATTTGTAGCTGCGTGCCTAATATGTATCTGGCACTGTCTCAACCACTGAGGATATAACAAAAAATCTTGTCTCTCTGGAACTTCTATCCTGTTTGTAGAAGACAGACAGGAAAATCAATTTCTGAACTTTACAATGTAGAAGTTGATACGTAACATGGAGGAAAAGAGAATAGGGAATGTTTGGGTGTGGGACAGGAAGGCTTCCTTGAGAACACAGCATTCA